AATGTTCAGAAAGAGAGAGCCACACCACTGTTAGCATTCCAGCTACGCAAGCTGTTGCCCTCGCTCTCGCTCTCACGCTTATGAGCGTTTTTTCCCACTGTGACGCGCTCTCGCGCGCTCAGGCTCACCACGCTCACGCCGCCAGCTGACTTCGACTTTAACTTCACTTCGCATATGCACCCACAAGCAAACGGCCGGCTTTGCACACGATCATTGTACATACCAGAGAACGGCATTGGGTGATTGCAAATAAGTTTACACAAAAAAATCACCCGATTAAACTGACTCAGCGTTGACGGATACACACTTGCATGCGCACATATTCCCAGATGATTTTAAATCACTCAAGCTTTGCTTTCTTTTTTTCTGGCTGAGTTTATTCATGCTCGTTCGTTTTTCGGGTGTCTGTTACTTCGGCTCAGCAATGAGCCAATAAGATTATGAGCAAAGACGCAAATGAGTAAGCTCAGCTCGTATGATTTTATTCAAGTGAAGGAACGGTCGGCACACATACATGCACAATGTGTCTAATTGCTGCTGACAGTGGTGGAAAAAAGAAATGCAGAATAGAAATCAAATGAAATGAGTAACGAAATATTTATTTTTATATTTTCTTAGAAGTAAAAAACCTTAAGGGCCAATTTTGAGAGATTTGGATATACTTGTTCATTAATTTTCCACCATATTAAAACATCAAATTCATCGGTTATTTCCACATTTTCTTTACAATATTTTTCTATTTCATCGGCAGGTGTTTTCAATGTAGTCAGTAATGATTTTGGTAGCACATAAGGGAAAAAAAATTATTGGATTGATTGGAAAACGCAATGCTCGTGTCTAATGAATTGCTGTTTTCAGGAAAAGAAAATTGGAGAATGGAATCAGAATTTTGGGTAGATGGACTAGTTGGAATAGACCAGATTGATGACTGGTGAGATATAAATGATCGCTCGATTTGGGAAACACAGAATTGAATAATTTCATCCTTATCTGATGCTTTCATATTTAATGCAGGAGGAAATAAAAAAAAGCAGTTTTATGCCAAAGCGTTAAATTTGGAATCCAAGTGTCGTCAACATTATGCAAAATTTGTTCTTTTAAAGACGCTATGGATGGTACATCTGTTGGATTATGTTTACATATAAGCTTAACTTTTTCAATAGATGGTACAACGAAACATAGAGAGGGTGAACTGCAAAGCTGTAATTTCTTATATATAACTTCAAAATCACTGCAAAGGTTAACTAGTTGTTGAAGGGTTGAAATCCATATAAGTAATAATCTTTGGCTCTCGTGCTTCTCCTTAAGGATGTTAAGCCAATTGTCTACTATTCACTTAAACATAGTGAAATTTGAGTTCCAGCGAGTGATTCAAGTGATGCTGCAAGTTGGCTTTTTTGAAATAATTAACTATTTTTTTGCAAGCCTCTGAAAGTACGGTTAGCTCCGACGATTCCTTAAAAGCATGTTCCAGTATATTCGCAAATAAATGGCAGCTGAAGTTTAAAAGAATGTTGTTTTCCAAAGCTTTTACAACGTTGGAGCCTCTGTTACAAACATTATTTTGTCCAATTTTGTTATCCCAAACTCAGAAAACAAAGAGTTCAACTTGCTTGGAATGTTAGCACCAGTTGAGCGCTGAAAATCCATAGACTTCATTCCCAAAATGATGTCAAACAGTTTCAAACCTTTTTGGAAGTGCAGCGTTCCCAAAAAGTTTCTGTGCACATAATTATCTGTCCACAAATCAATTGTAGCAGAAGCTCCACCGCTATGCACAATATCGGCACTTTCATCTTTTACATGTTTTTCCTTTTCTCTGCCATTTTATGTGTTGCTCTTGAAATTGTCGTGGCATCAGGCAGAAGGTTTTCTTTGTCAACGGCGTCTCCATATTTAGCTCCCATTTCTATACAAAAATTGAGCAAGCTTTGCAAATCCAGATCCGTTTATAGCTGAAAATGGTTGGCAATCTTCAGTAACCCAAGTTACGCAGGCATCTATGGCGGCCTTCTTATCTTCTGCCGTAACAATTTTAACACTTGTTTTCGTCTTAAGGGCTATGCAACATTTATGTCGGCTTAAATTTGACGAGTTCTTCTCCGATTTCTTTAAAAGATTGTTGAACGACCGACAGTAAAGATATTTATCCAAAAAAGTTCCATCTTCTTTAATAATGTCTGACAAAATGTTCCAGATTACGCTTTTTCCCTTTTGTCGCAGTGACAAGGTGTACGCATTTTTTTAACTTTCTCTAGAACAAATGATTCGTCTGCCATTGTCTCAAAAATCTCACTAAGCGACCGAACTGAAAACGAGACATTCCAACGGAATTTTTAGCGAGAGGAGCCCGAAGACCTCTTCGGCTGGAAATTTGCACCGCTCGGCTCTTCGGGCCAAATCCGTCTGCGTCGACTTTGCATGTATGCGTGTAAACCTTTTCACATACATGTTGGATATGATTTTATTGTACACGAAGCTGAGATTTGTGTGAGTGAGTAAGAATTGATGCGAACGAGGCGATTGCCAGCACAAGCTGAGTTTATTCAACACTGAGTATTTTTGAGTGTTTATATATGAGTAGGCCAAGAAACACCCTAAGCAAGAAAGTGATGCGAACGAAGCGTCTGACAGCGCAAGTTGAGTTTATTCAACGCTGAGTATTTTTGAGCGATTGCATGTGAGCAAAAACTTTAGCTCATGCGTAAATCAAGAAATATGTGATTTTTTCAGTTCTCTGGTACATATATATATACCGAATAAAACCCTACTTTGAAGAACTTGGACTTGCCCTGTCTTTTCTTGGAAAGTGATTGTTGAAACCCCCTTGAGACGCCTCTTCGCTTAATCACCACCGCTGGCACCTTCAGCTGGGACCTGACCTCTACTTGCAGCTCCTTCATGCGTCCGATCATCTTCTTGATGGCCATATTAATCGACCTCTGGCCCTTCTCATTCATCTGGCGCAGAAGATCGTCTGATATTGAGCCCATCTCATCGATGTCTTGGGCGCTGATTCTGCTTCTCTTCGGGGGAGTTTTCCTCACACTACTCGATGGAGTGGGGTGGTCTCGCGGCCTCTTTGGGGTGTCGGCGTCTTTTATGTCGTCCTTTGTGGACCCGCTAGCAAAGCTGCTCATCGAGCTTTGTTTCAATGGCGGCGCTGAGGCTGATTGTTGGTGTGGCGGTGTTCAGGCCATCTTCGAGGCTTTTTGGAAAGCCGCTGATTTCATTTCTTGTAGTTGTTCTTGCTTCGTCGGCCATTCGCATTTTATACCTATTACCAAGTTATTCGCATTTTATACCTCCTGACAGGTTTCATTACTGCCGATCAATATGATACAGACGCAGACCAAGCGGCCGCCCATTGTGGGTCAGACGCTGCTTGGATTTGGTTTGGTCGGCGACACTTTTGGGGCGTCCATCGGCGGCCGAAGATTTCATTTCGGCTCGCAGATGTGTGGTACCGCCCATACTCGGTCGCCAGAGCCCCGTTTTGGGGGCGGTGGGTGTGGCTGTTGATCTGCTCCATGACCTTTGTCACCCGTTTTTTCCCATGTGGAACCTTTCTAACACAGCCTGGTCACAGCCTATGGAGCTTGGGAAAGCTGCGTTGGCCATGGATTGTCATCTCCTGGGTATGTGCTGGACTCCAGTGTTGGTGTAGATTCTCATCCGGTCCTGTTTCCTTGCAGGTATCGCAGCCATCAGCCACCCACCCAGAAGCACCAAGGAAACGCGTCCGCACCCGATCGAAACACTCACTCCACCTGAATTCATATATGTATATATGTAAGTATGTAAAGATCTAATCGACGGCTCCTTTTCTAAGGCACTGTGCTTGGCACTGATATGCACCAAACAGCTTGGTTATCATAGCCGATCTGCTAAATAACGCGATAAGATCGTTAAAGAGAAGCGCGCTAATGCCCTACACCAGTGATGGGCATGAAAACTAACGGAAAGAGCCAGACAGAAAAAACAAAAAAAAACAACCCCCGTCGCGACGCGTCGCAGTCATGAGCCAGACAGAATGGGCGAGCAAAGTGAATACACTTGTTGTTGCTCTGATTTTCATGTGCGTAGCCCAAGACACATGATGTGTTGTTGCAATCTCGAGATCGCGCCTTCGAAGCATTTTTGCCGTCTCTTTGACGCCAAATTTCTGTGGCATTGTTTTTGTAAAACACGTCGCGAGCGACGACCGTTTGAGCCGACTTGCTGGCGCCTCCCGAAAAACATTTTGGAAAGAGCCGCGGGAGCTGAAAGAGCCACGTCGTGCCCATCTCTGCCCTACACCCACACACGCATTACGTATACGTTGAGCACTTGACATATTCATAACTACACCCACATCTATACACTGTGAAGGAGCAAACGCTCCCCCACAAATTTTTCTCCCTTGACGGGAACTACCCAGCCATAAGTTCCTTTAATTCCCACTGAAGGGACAACATTTCGTTTTTTTTTTTGTTACAAGGGGATACCCCAGGAGTTACCGAGGCAAGCCCGGACACGAACCAAAAGCTCCACACTGAGTTGGGGAATTCACTATCATATCATATGTTCTAAAATAGTTTCGGTTAAATAAAAACATACTTTTTAAAAACCTACTTTTGAACCCTGGAATTCTTATTGTATGTACATATGTCTGTACTTGTATTTAGTGTCTTTGCTGCAGTGGCAAAAGAGCGATGAATAACGAAAATAAGATTTGCGGCAAGACGAGAAGCAAGATCACGTCGGGGTTACCAATGTTTTGAGAAGATGCTAGTTTGCACCCCACTTCGGCCCTTTTGTTTGTAAATTTTAATAAAAAAAAGACCTTTTCACTACTTGTAATGCGTGATTTACTTCTGGAACTTCCAACAATAACTATCGATAGATAAGTGGTGAGCAGTTTACAATGGTATTATATGGTGGCTTAAAAATAATAGTATATGACTTCAATATCGTGATTTGAGAAGTAAAGATATAATGTAATTCAGATATAATGTTATTTAGAGGGCGTTCTGCTGGGAACAGCCGGTGAGTCCCGTTCTTAATAGAGTCCCCGTAGAAATTGCAAATTTCTTGTAGTTTAGGATTCTGGACAGGCTGATGAATATCCCAGCCTTTAATAAGTATCTTACAATATCTAAATCAGTTTGATATTCTGTGCAGCTTGTGCATGTACAATTTTATGCGTGAAATGTCACAGGTACACATGCTGCAATGCAGCCGCTGCATTATTTAGAACCAGCTTAAGAACAAAACAGTGTACCTATCGATTTTTATGCCAAAAGACTGTAACATAACCTCTTGAAATGTATACAACACATGTCCGCTAAATTTTAATTTTATTGTGGAAATATTTAAAAGATGTGTACAAAATTTGTTTTTTGCTAAGAGCTGACGATGCAAGTAAATTACAAGTACATTTAACGGCACGTACATAACATCGGAGTATGGAAATATGCAAATATGGAAAATCAAAAGTAAAACTTTTCATTGAATGAGACATACTAATAGGATGATTATTCAGTTGAGCTCATTTACAAATGCGGATTCTAATTCGGCAATCAATTTATCGTCATCAAAATTTTCACGTTTTAAAGGTAAATTTACTGTAGAACTAGCACCCCCATTATCGCAATGAGTTAAGCTAACCCCATCTGAATTTTTAATTAGCATCTTTTCGCTCGAAGGTAATATCATTATTTTCTGTTCTTTAATTATTGGACAACAAATACTTTTTCCCACAGGGCTTTCAGAATTATTTACTTTAATACCTATCTGTTGATTTAAACTGGTGTGCTTTGTGCTGTCTTGCTCATTAATGATTTGGTTGGTAAAAGTTTGTGAATTCGATTTATGTCCATCGTGTTGATTAAAAGATATAAAGTTTTCATTTCGGTCACTATTATAGTTGAATGGGACTTTACTTTTATTTATATTTAAGTCCATTTGGTCCAGACTTCCTGGAATGCACAGCATCGTTTTTGAATCTTGTTTAAAACAAATATCTTCCTTTTGGGGATGGAGCGATGATTCCAATGCTTCAAATAATGCTTGAGAATTTAGGCGCACTTCAAGACTATTTTCAAATAAACGCGATTCATCTAAAAAGCACATTAAAATTTCTGATGGTGCAGGACATCTGAAATTTCTCGACTTCAATATTACTATTAATATTTTATATATTTCCAAGCGACAATTCCAGAGTCTAGTCGAATTTTCAGATTTCGTAGGCTCTGCATGCATTTCAATACATACTTCCAATAGTGCGTTGTGTACCTCCTGTTATAAAAGGTAAACAAATTAAAACAGGAAAAGAAATAAAAAAAACCGTACTTTCCTTCATAACAGATTTTCGTAATAAATTACCAGACGAGGTTAGAATTATGTGAAGGCAAGAAAAGGCTTCCTTATGGAGCAGTTTCTCATTTTCATTTAACTGCGTTAACGTGGTAAATGGGGTCTCCAGTGTTTTTTTTTTTTCTATTGACTAAGAAAACAAAATAGATCGTTATAGATTTACGTTTAACTACTCAATTGTTACCTCTTTTGATAAAAATGACTTTCGCTGCGTTACATCATCTAATATTTCGTTTATAATGGTCTCCGAGATTATTTCGCAATGACTTCCTTCTTTTAAGTTCGAGCACCATAATGATATTGTTTTGTAAACCACAAATCGAAATTTACTAGAAATAAACAAATTAATAATAATAAAATTAAAATTATTATTTCTAAACTAATAACTTCTGAACAAACTATATAATTTTCATGCAATAAAAAAAAAAAATTTTTTTTGGTGCTACAATGTGCAATACGTTGCTAAAGATGTACTTTGTTTCCGATGCATGTGTTTCGTGTAAAATGACCTATTTGTACTTTTTCTAACCGTATTCGCAGAGTTAAGGAGTATATTACATTTGTGGTAAATGTGGATGTGTGTAGCGCACGGAAGGAAACGTTTCCGACCCCATAAAGTGAATTTACTATTGATCAGCATAAAGTCGATATAGCCATGTCTGTCTGTACGTGTGTCTGTCCTGATGAGCGCCTAGTTCCCAGAAACTATAAGAGCTAGAGCAACCAAATTTTATATCTAGACTCATGTGATATTACACTGCTACAAGTGTATTTCAAAATTTCGCGCCGCCCCGTTCCACTCTACAAAGAACGAAAATCTGTGGCAGCCACAAATAGACTGGCAAATCTGATTTAGATTGTATCAGTATTATAGCCAGAATGAAGAACTGAATGGTAAATGTTCGATATACGGGCCTATGCTCCTAAAATCGCGAACAAAAAATACCCTCGATGGACCGCGATTTATCAAGTATTTACGTGCAAAAAATAATTTATTATTTATTATCTTTTTATACCCGTACTCAAAAAAAGGTTAAGGGGTATATTAGATTTGTGGTAAAAGTGGATGTGTGTAACGCAGAGAAGGCAACGTTTCCGACCCCATAAGTATATATATTCTTGATCAGTATCAATAGCCGAGTCGATAGAGCCCCGCCCCTTCCGCCACCACAAAGGACGAAAATCTGTGGCAAGCACAATTTTAAAGATACGATAAAACTAAAAACGCAGTATTGTAGAGAATGACCATATCTACCAGATTGCCGAATCTGATCAGATTCACATCGGATCATAGTTATAGCCATAATGAAGAAATTTAATTTTCAGTTGCCCCGCCTCCCCAACCAGAGACACGCTACTCATTCTCTTTCTCGCTCGCACACTCTGCCGCGTTCAGTGCGCGAGCAACCCCTAGCGAAGGAGATGTAGAATAGAATATAAAACTATAAATTTTTTTTCAAATCTTTAGTTTAACATTTGGGGGTTTCTACCACAAAAAGAAAATACAGTACAAAAAAATGGATTTGAACTAGAAACTAGTTCATATTGATAATAAGGTACTTTTCTTTTTAGTTACTGTTAAAAAATTAACGATTGGTTAAAATCAAAAAGTGCAGCTGAGGTTGATATATTTTGTTAACTAGTTCGCAAAAACTTGTGAACTTGTGTCAATATATATTTAATAGATTTCACCAATTATCCAACTCATTCAGCGAAAACAATTTTTTTTAAATTTTCTTGTTTACAATTTTTTTTTTTAATTTGTTAGCAATCTCTAAAAATGTTTTTTAAATACAAATATAAGCTTTAATATTACTGTCAAAACCAAGATAACGAAATTAACGGGTTTCCCGTATAATTAAAAAAAAAAATTGTTTGTCTCAACCTATCCATTACCCAACGAGGGGGGCCAGCTCATGATCCTTCAGATGGCGTGGGACGTAGGTAGCGTCTACCTACGTCTCAAAAAGCGCAACCCAGAAGACAAAGATGCGCACATCCTGCAGGCAGGCGAGGTGGAGAAGGACCTTGGTGTGCAATCCATCATGAAGCCGTCCAGGGTCTTGCGGGGGAAGAGGATGGTGACCTGACGGTGATAATCAACCCGTGGAAAGAAGTTGAGCCAGCCACTCAAGACTGTGAGGTCAATCTTCATAAAAGTAAATTCGTGTCGACGGAGCTCCTCATTGCCATGGAGCAAGGGCCCATCGACATAGCTTTGCTCCAGGAGCCATGGATTGCCTCGGCCAATGCTGTGAAACAGGAACAGACATCCATGTTTACCTTTTGTCTCATTACAGCACTGTGAGGTCCTATCTCAGGCTGAGGTATGCATCAGTCTGTCCAGGGTCCGCTACAAGAAAATTTGTAGATCGCAGGTGACTTCAGGTGTCGGGCTGGCTTGAAATGCAGTAGGCAAGGAAGAAATGATGACGCGAGAGTTTGGGTTTTTGGTTGTTCTTGGTTTATTCAGTACTTTTCATTCACTTAGTTCGTTACGTGGTTGCCCTTTTGGCTGTGTGGCTGTGTGCTTTTGCGCTGGTGGACTGCGTAGTGCAGTGTCTTGGGTGTGTGACTGAGGGACTGCGTAGTGCAGTGTCTTGGGTGTGTGTCTGAGGGACTGCCTAGTGCAATGTCTTGTGTTTGGGCTGATGGACTGCCTCGTGCAGTGTCTTGTGTTCGGGCTGATGGACTGCCTACTATTTCGGCCGATCTTGGCCCTTTTATGCAGCTGCCGATGGATATCGGCATATCGATCCAATATCGAGAATGTTAACAAACTAGACTCTTTAAGTTGCAATCAAAACAACCTACCATACAGAGTCAGTTGAAGCGAATCGATGGACAGTGGACTGAGGGCAAGAAGCCCTTAAAGCACTAATGGAAGCTCACTTCCCAGGATGCACTGAGATTGCCGACTCTACAACAGAGGCCGGCAGCGTCGTATGCACTATGCATAGGAAAAAATTTCGGGCAGCGCAGTCGGCACACGTACAGCGTAAAGACTTCGTGTGGTTTCGTTATTCTGCCTGATGACGTAGCGGCAGAGAAAATTCTGCTCTGCTGACGTAGCGGCAGAGCGGGCTATGCACAAACGGCTTCATATTCTGCTCGCTTGCCTCAGCGGCAGAGAAGCCCTATGCATAATTCCCCGGCTTTCGCAGCTGCAGAGAAATAAGTAACGTATTTGACTTCGTGTCTGTTGTCTTCGCACACAAACGCACCAAAAAAATGTGTGAGTCTGTGTGCCGACCCCTGCTCTAAAACGCATCAGGACGTAGCAACTGAGGAACAGCACCCCCCAACAGATCTCATATCCTCTAAGAGAATTCACTGGGCTATAGACTCCTTTGTCAACCAACCAGCATGCCTATACCAAAGGGAAATCGGTGGAATTGTATGCAATTCGGTGAATTGCATTCGCTAGTAGCCACCATTGAGAGAGCCCTTCATAATAAAAAGAATGCCTTAGTAGTGTTTTTAGACATATCCGGAGTATTCCACAACGTGAATACGAACGCTATAATGGACCGTCTAGAAGCGACCAAAACGCATCCAGCAATCAACCTCTGGATAAAGAACCTTCTAAGTTGTAGACGTTGTCAACCGTCATCGACTTCAGACGTATTTTTGTATCGCTCCGCCGTGAAAATCAATTAATCGCGATTAATCGTAAATTAATTCGCGAAAAAGCGCTCGGGGTAGGCATGTGTACTAGTGATCGTGCTGCCCATGAATACCATCCAATCGTGTAATAAAGATTAATAGAAATAATAGAAAAGAACAAATGACAACGTATAAGAGCACCAGCTCGGTAAAGAGCACAAGCACTGTAACCAAAGCCAAAATGAGCCAAGCCCAGCAACAGCAACAAGACAAGCGTCGGCTCTCGCAAGCAAAAAACAACGCGTACTTCTCTATACGCTCGCCAAAGGCAGCAGTACCAACAAAAACTGCATCACTGCAAGTGAACGAGGAGAGAGTACGCTCTCTCTCCCCTGCATTGCAAAGTGGGTCATGGAGAGCTCAGTGCCCATCCCCCGACTCGTACTGCCTAACCAACGATTTGCTAATATCAACAACAACTAGTACAATGCCCTCGCTCAAAACTGTGTCTTCGACCACAACAACGACAACAACCACTGCAATTGCTCAGCGCCCGATACTGTCGACCCACTGCGACAAGCAGCCCACGTCTCCCAACCAATAAGTTCAAAAAATGCTAACGGAGCGTTAATTCAGACTGGGCTCGATCGCTATGTGCAAATCAAAAGAAAATTGAGCCCACAAACTACGAAGAACAACAATGCAGCTAAAATAACTAAAATAACCGAGAACACTGTGCCACATAAGGCACTAGCAAACAATAGATTTGCGATACTAAGTGTCCCAAATGAAGGTAAGATTGCCCAAACACCCAAGGCCAAAAAATTAAGACCGCCACCTATTTATGTTCGACAGGCAAATTGTGCTGAACTGGTCAAAAAAATAACTGAAACAATTGGCGCAAACACATTCTATGTCACGTCCATAACAAGGGGTAACATAAATGAAACAAAAATACAAGTCAATGACGAACAAAACTATCGATCAGTTGCGAAATACCTCGAAAATGAAAAAAATGAATTACTAAACCTACCAACTTAAAAGTAGCAAAGGATTACAAGGGGTTATCAAAGGAATCGAACCAACAGTCCCAATCAATGAGATAATAGATGGACTTAACGATAAGGTCTTCGAAGCCAAAATGGCTATGGCTTCCCCAGCCAATGTTCAAAGTAGAACTGACACCTGAAAGTATGCATATAAGTAAAAATGAAGTTCACCCAATATACAAGCTTCAATATCTACTGCACCGTAGGATCACCGTTGATGAACCACACAAACGAAATGGACCGGTCCAATGCACAAATTGCCAGGAATATGGACACACGAAAACCTATTGCACTCTACGGGCAGTCTGCGTTGCATGTGGTGATGTTCATCTCACTGAGGCCTGCCCCGTAAATAAGGAGGACCCATCTGCCAAAAAATGTAGCAACTGTGGGGGAAACCATACTGCCAACTATAGAGGTTGTCCTGTCTATAAAGAATTGATAAATCGCCTAAACCCACAAATAACTGCAGCTTGAAACCCGGTCGTCCGACAAAACTTACCATATATACCATCAACTACGACTCCAGGAGTTTCTTTTGCTCAGGCGTTAAGTTACAACAACGGGTCATACGCCTCAGTCTCTAAGCCAACACTTCAACCAACCACAGCTGGAATAATGCAGCATCAGGCATCAAATCAGATACCAGAAATCTCTGGCCAACATACCCCTGC